GGTTGAACCAAAAAAAAGTAAAAGATAAATGACAAATAATAACGTAGAAAAGAAGAGAATTATTCTTTTTAACAATCGTCTAAACCTTAGAATTCTAACATTGGAAATTATCTACGAATTCATCGTGTGAAATATCTACGAAGAATAAATTTTAATCGAAAATCCTGGTCGATGACGAGAAGTTGAATAAAAAAAAAGTAAGAGATAAATGACAAATAATAACGTAGAAAAGAAGAGAATCGTGTTGCGCGATAAGAACCGTTGGAGAATGTTAGTAACGAAGACATGCACGAATTAAAGAAACAAGGGAAAGGAATGATCTCTGAACGATTGCTGAACGAGAAACTGATTGGGGACTTTTATTGAACCATGCTTACGAATTCTACAAGAATATCGAAGCTACGAAGGAAATGGGAGGGATTCAAGCTGGGCAAAAAGTAGTGCGAAAGAACGACGACATAAAGAAGGAAAGAGAGAAAAAAGAGGCGAAGAAGCAGTTAAAGGGGATGGAGAATAAAAGGAAAAGAAGGATGAAGAAGAGAGACAAGGGATTCTCATTGAAAGTTGGCAGCGAGAGAAACGACGACTAATTGCAGCATCCTCCTCCTGTAGGAAACTTATCTCTGTTGTATTTCCATCGACTGATAACGAGGAGCAAGGGGAGAGGAAAGATGTCGACTTTTAATTGGATTAGCATCGATTAGTAATCCTCAAACAAATATCGCATTTAAGAGTGATTGGAAAACGTGAGGATATTTAACAGATTTGCTGATAGATTATTCAAAATGTCAAAAATCCAAGAAAAAGAATTCGGGACTTACTTTTCCCATGATTCGAAACTCTCGAAATTCAGATAAGAAAAAGTATAGTATAGAAGCAATTAATAAAGAATCATTTGTAACGTGGATAAAGGATGTTTGAATGATAATATAAAATATCCAAATTTAACGAAATTATTAAAAAAAAGAAAAATTGCATCATCATCAGTATATACTCTGAAAATCTTTTTAGTACATATAAAAAAAAAATGTAGATTGAATTCAAAAAGAGTTTGAATGTTAGTGTTCAAAAAGAAAGATTTTTGTATATTGTTTTGTTGCCTTTGTTGATATGTTTTTGTTTCTACTTTGTTTAATTGTACAACCAATACAAATTTAAATAAAAATGTTAACTTCAGTTCTTGAAACAAGAAATTATATTATAAAACAAAATCAGTACTTAAAAATCTTACAAAGTTTCTGATTTCTGCTTCGAGAATCTAAAAATCAATTTCACAATTCATTTCTTCAGATAAAAATTTGATAAAGTTCTTTGCAAACAAGAGAAAAATACAAGACAAACAAAGCGACGAGAAACTACATTGAATGTCTATAGATTTTGTACGTAACCAAAGGAACTAATGATCGTCACCGTGTTTGATTTCGATAGATCCGAATTGATATTTGGTATCAAACTTAACTAGAAATAAAAATTGAAACGAGTGGAAAACAAATATTGCATCGACATGTGTGTAAAAATGGATGCATGAGAACTAAAAAATATGTATGAAATTGGTATAATTCTTATTATATTCTTACTTGGAGTATGAAAGATGGACTTACATATTGATCATATTAGGATATATCTATAGGTCATAACTTCTCTGGTGGATTCAGCATATTAAAATAAGAGGTATAAATTTATATCTGGGAATTTTTTTCTTGATAAACTGAATTTATGACATCATTATATTAATATTTTATATTAATTTATTATGTTATATTATTATATTATAATTTATTATATTATATTATATTATATTATTATAATTTATTTATTATATTATTATATTATATTTATTATATTTATATTATTATATTATAATATATTATTATATTAATATTAATATTAATAATAATTATATTAGTATTAATATAATATATTATTATATTAATATAATACATTGTTATATTATATTATTATATTAATTTATTATATTATATTATATTATATTTATATTAATTTATTTATTATATTATAATTAATCTTTTATATTACATTACATTATACATATTACACATGTTATATTACATTATATTAATATTTTATATTAATTTATATTAATCTTGGTAAACTGAATTTATGACATCATTATATTAATATATTATAAAATGTTAGACAACAGGACTAGTATAGTGAATAAATAGTAAATTCTTTTATTTCTTGATAATACTGAAAGTATCATCTGATTCCAGCGGAGTATTCAATGCTACTAGTATACTTTCATCTGCAAAGGCACATGGGTAACTTTCTTATACAAGTGTACGGGCCCTGTGTTTTATTAGTTGTCCTCTCTTGGGTCTCCTTCTGGTTAAATCGGGAAGCTACTGCAGATCGTGTATCGCTAGGTAAGTTTATAATTACGTCATATTTCATAGTTAGCACGTACACATGCTTAGAACAATTATTAAATTTTTAAATAATATATTTTCAACCTGTATCAATCGAAAAGAAAACTTTTCAAAAGAGTTGTTCAGATTATATTGATAAGTCCAAATTTGTAAATAATAATGTTAGATACTTTTGGAAGATTATATATACTTAATTTTAATCTCTCTTTAATAACATATGAAAGAAAGTATTTCTGTATTTGTTTGAAGGTATAACAACAGTGTTGACAATGACATTTTTGGGATTGGAGGCACGAACAGATTTACCTAAAGTTCCTTACCCCACTGCCCTGGACTTCTTCGTTTTCCTCTCGTTCGCTTTCATTTTTGCCACTATTATACAATTCGCGGTGGTCCATTATTTCACCAAGTACGGCTCCGGCGAATGTTATTTCAGCTCAGATTTAAGCGAAAGCGAGAGTTCCAGTGACGAGGAGGAGATAAATACGAGACGATTGAAGAAAGAACCGGTAATTTTCTGTTGTTATTATTTTTATAATTTATATATATATATATATATATGTTGATTTTTTATTTTATTAATGAATATTGTAAATCTTTAAAGATTTAACTTCTTTTCCTTGACACAAGTAAAATTGGATTTATTATAAATGCATCGGTGATCAAAAAATTTAATTTCATTGTTGAGACGAGTTGCATATAAAGAAACACTATAGAGTGCTTGATCCATACTTTAATTTACATAGAAAGAAGTACATACAATTTCCATATAACAGCAAAGAATATGAAATATTAAAGGAATATTAAATGATGCAAAGTTACTTCAATTCAATCCCAGAAATAATTGAACTTCTGAAGTTATATGTAGGTTGTTGCAATAAAAAAACTCTTAATAGAAAAAAGTTTTTCACATCGAGGTAAAATTACCTGTGATTTAAATTATATTAACATGCATGAACAAATTTAAATTCATTTCAGGTAGCTTCTATTTGAAAAAATAAGAAGAAAGTTTAATAGGATATACCTCTTAAATATGATAAATTATTTAAAACAAAAACAATTTAATAATTTTTATTACAAAGGTAATTTTCGAAAAATAGCAATTGAAAATATAAAATTTCTTGTAAATGAAACATTATAATTAATATAATACTTACAATTATAGAATACACTTATGTCCTTTATTATTATTCTTATCTCATCCCTTAGATTATTATTATTATTATTATTATTATTATTATTATTATTATTATTATTATTTAATATACAGTTTTCTTTTATAAGAAATAGAAGAAAAGCGAGAAAACTAAGTTGGAAATGCTAAGAAAAAATTGTTCTATAATCTTGTTTATTAATGTTATATCTATGAAAAACATTACACATAATGCCAATATTTATTTATCGAAGCGTATTAAAGTAAACTTACAAAAATGAATGTCCGCAAAAAAATAATTTTGAAGATGATAAGAATCTTCTGTCTTATTACGCGTACAAAGTAAAATGGAAATTTATTTGCAAATATTTATCTATATTTTATTTTATATTTATATTATATTTATATTTATTATTATAATATTATATCATAATATTTATATATATTATAATTATATATATGTTATAATATTTATTATATTATATTTATATTTATATTTTATATTTATTATTTGCAAATATACACATACACGATATTTTTATCTTTGTCTTTATATTCTAAACATTTAATCCATTCTCGGTTGTGGAATTTCCCGATAGAGAGTCACTTTTCTCTTTAATGCATTTCTTCTTTTTTTATAATTATTTTAATGATTTTGTGCATTCATGTTTCGGATCAAGTCTCTACCTTTCTTTAGAGAGAAATGTCACATTGAAATTAACTGAATGACGATATCTTTATTTATTTATGAATAATATTCATAAATAGATCGATAAATACCTTAGAAATTCTCTAATTGAAGATATTCAAGAAATATGATTGATGATATAAACGCGTAATAATTTTTAAAACAATTTGTAAAAGGGTAAGAACAATACCTAAAAACCCAATAAATTGATTGTTTTTTTTTTTCTTTTGTTTTGAGTAATATGAACGCATAACAATACAAAAGAAACAATTGTCCCGTCTTGACTTCCCCTATGAATAGTGAACTCATTACAAATAGAATTACATCCTAGAAAAAAAAAAAAATTGATATCAACTACAAGAGATATTTATTTCGCATGTTTGTGAATATAATAATGAAAATTCAGAAAAATCGAAACACACTCATTCTTTGATATTTACACAGTATTTTCCGATTTTGCAATATCGACTAAATAATAATCGTTTTATTTGCGCGGATTTTTTACATACATGATATCAATTTCATAGACGATCTCGTTTCAGCCAGATTTCTTTAGAAAGAAAAGGGAGGATTTTTTAGTTCGTTCTCTTTCAATTAATTTATATTACACAACTTAATAATAGTACAGCAGCGCGCACACCTTTTAAACTGGTTGTGAATGACGACGTCGATAAAAATGAAAAAAAAAGGTGGTAAAAAATATGAGAAAAAAATTCAATTTGAAATCAATTAAAAAAGCAAGCGCTCGACAAAACCTATCATTACGCATCGAAGATTAAATAAATAATGTTTTCTGTGCTTTCACATTAATTTTCATAATATTATTAATTAAAAGGAATGAATCTCTATAACAGAGATATTCAAATGCCATCTAGACTGACTAAAAGTAGATCGCATTTACGTCACAATCGCAACAGGTCACAATTCGGCTTCTCACGCTCGAAGAACATTTATCATTTCAGGTGTCTCATTCTCATAAAAGAACTGCGGGAAGCCTAGCTGCACGCGGGCACCAAAGTCGGAATTTCACGATGAATGAGGACGGTATGATCGAAGTGATACCGTTATCAGCAATTCCAGAACCTAGCAGGAATCCTGCAGTGGGTCACTGGCAGATGTCCTGCGTGGCGTGCAGCGCGCCTCCTCCTCATCAAGCTGCTCCGGTCAGAAAAGGATCTGACCGAAGGCGACGTAGGAGAACACCCAGATACAATTCTGTATCGAAAATCGATCGTGCTAGCCGCATCGTGTTCCCTGTGTTCTTCTTGGCTATCAACGTATTCTACTGGTACGCGTATCTATCGAGAAGCGAGCGTATCAATTACTACAACGTGAACTCGAACGGCACGTGAGACCGGTCACTAACAATAAATAGGACAACCAAAGGAAAACACGTGTACAAACGTTCTCCACGGAATTGCTCGTCGGAGAAGATGTCAATCGACCAATCTATGATACTAGTTTCAACGAGATTACGCGCGTAACAGATATATATATATATATATATATATATACAGAATTGTTCTTCTGCAATGGAGAGTTTTCAAGGGCAACGAATTGAGCGGATGAACGAATATGTAAATTCAATTGTTCGTAAGTTTAATTGCATTGCAAACAATGGGACAAGAATGTACGCACTGTAAGTATTAGTAAATACTTGTATATTTATATTTTCAATTTTCTTTTGGGTTTTGTGGTGAAATTCAGTCGTTTAATGAAATTTCACTTTTAAATATTTCTCGAACAAATGTCGAACATTTGACTCGAGAAACGATTAGATAACGCAGTAAACATTCCTAGTATCTTTTTGAAGAACTCAAACAATAAAAAGATCATGCTTCAATATAAACGATCCAGTTTCTATGCCAAAAGAATATTTTATAAATTTGTCTATCGAGGTTTCAAAGTTGTGATACACGGTGTATATTTGAATATATAATGTAATTGGTTGCATATCTTTTTGAAGAAAATAATATGTATTATTCCATCGAGTGAAAAGTTCGTTCATCTTGCTCAAATATCATATTCTGTATAAATATGATATTACAAATTGTTGATAGTTTGGTGTTAATGATTATAAAAAAAATTACAGAAAATTGAAACCTATTTTTAAACTGATTGCAAAAAAGATGAATCAATGTTTGAAATCGGGACAATAATCTTTGTATACTTTTAAAGCTAGTTTGCATTTGAAGAAAATAAATATTCCTTCTTTGATGGAATTATAAATTTACACCTGTTATATATACTTTATTATAAATTTTTATCAGATAAATATCATTCATAATTATGTCATTTAATGATGGCAACAAGAAAAATGACAAATGTTAATAATATTAATTAAAGTTAATTATATTCAACTTATTAATAAAAATTAATAATATTACATACTGAATAATATTACACTGCTTTCACGTCAGACATATTTGATTTGTATTATATCTATAATAATAATAATATCTATAATAATTAGATTGGAATAATAACTGGCTTATATGATTTGTAACTATTGATGTAAAAATTTTTTCTTCATAAAAAATCGACTTTTTTAATAAAACGATAAAGTATCGAGATAAATGAATTGTTATTTAATTTAAAGGAAATGAGACAAAATAACATATGTTTCTTTAATTAGATTATAGATAAATTATAACATTAAGGCTCGTTTAAAGAAACACGAACGAACTTCTTACTCTTACTTTTTTTTTAAATTATAAACGTCAGTTACTAATTTTTGTAAATGATTTTGTACACTCTGTTATGTTTTAAAATAAATACAGCTAGTGTATCTTCTAATTTTCTTCAATAATGACATTTATTTTACGCAAAATATTACATTATTTACGATTTTTTGTTATTAATTTGTGAATAATACAAATTACAAACATCTTATTAAATATTAAAGAAAGTTGAAATATGGGTTTGTAATCTGTGTAGAAGAAGTAAAAAGATAATTGTTTATATTGATTTAAGAAATGAAAATTGATTTATAACCATTCGAATTACATTCTGCTAAATAATAATTTTTATCTTGGCACCAAATATATGAACTACAACGCATTTCTATTTCTAACGTTTTAAATACAAAGAATAGATTTATAATTTATAAATTCTGTGCCAAAATGATTTCGATGTTATTTAAAAAAAAAAAATTGTTAAGTTAGTTAAACATTATCATTATTCATCTTTGTGGTGATAAATATCATGTTCAATTCAAAATAGGATGATATAGAAATGTCACTTTAAAATAACAATTAGATGCAAAAGATTTTTTTATAATTCACGGCTTACAAGTCATTCAAGAATTAATAAACATATTTTTGGCTAGAAAATGAAATTTGCTATTATTTGTTATATGATAAACATGAAATGTATAAATATTTATGAAATATTATGAGTTATAAATTATCTTATAAATTATAAGACACAGATATAAAAATATTCTATCATACCTGTGCCAATTAATCATTCTAAATGTAAAATGATAAATTTATTGAGAAACATCAATCTACTTCTATATCACATGGATGATTTCCTCAATTGGGCCTACAAATGAGTAACGAAGGACACATAAATGATTATATGGTTATGCTGGAACGAAATAGGCAATGTAGTACTAAATTACACTCATCATTTTCATTACAGATAACGACTGATTATTATAGATTTGACCTTTATCCAACAGTCATAAATAGCAACAACAAATTAAGATTGTGTTCTCATGCTTTAGTCGTTAGCGTACCGTTAGTAGTTGGTGAAATTTTCTTCTTTCAAAAACATAGTATTCGAGTTGGGTTAACTATTTTTGAAGAAGGAAATTTAACATTAACACGCTCGCTCGTTAGACTAAATAAGTATGTTACATCGAAAATAAAGCAAGAAATTTTTCTATTTTCTCCTCGTTCGATTTTTCTTTTCTTTTAATTATCAATAAAACAGAATTTTTTATCTTTAAGATCTATTTTGGAGAACAATTATAATCTTTCTCTTACATACATGTATAGGAAAGAGATTTTAAATGCAAATAATGCGATAACCTGTAGGTGAAACATATGGAAAATTATTTAAGATTTCTATTTAAGCATAGATTGCATTAATTGCAAAGAAGAAAAAAATTGAGCCAGTACGATTTAATGACGAAATATCGATAAAACGTGCAGAATAAATTTAGAAGAACCATTAGAAGAACGTTTAACAAGTGAAATGATAGAAAAATTCAATGATAATTGCGTATTAGGTGCGACAATAAATATCAGTTTCAAAACAATCCGTTGTTATTTATTGTAACATAAAATATATACGTATAATATAGCATAATATATATGTACATATAATGAAAAATAAAGTATGTAGTATTTTATAATATATTATAATAGTGTGTAACATGTGTATACTTTATGAAATCAGCTTTGATTAAATAATCAAGAATAATGTACAATAGAATTCTTTTATTTCTTGTGATAAATTTGCAAAAGAATAAGACAAAGCATTACTCGTTTTGTTTCAAGACCAAAATATCATGGTGTTATCATGTTTTATGAATAATTTAAAATAATTTAGATAACTCTAAATGTTTTTTTAGATTGTTCCATTTTTTTTAATATTTAGAGAATTTTTGTTGTTTAATAATTTCAAAAACATACGAAATGTGCGGACGTTTAGGTGGTGTATTCCAGATATAATAAAGTTTTATCTACACAAAAGATTACGTTAATTCTCGAACGATGTCCAAACGATCCTCTGCAAGGCGCGACAATACTGATGAAAGTACAGTTTACTTTTTGACATAAAGCAAGTATTTTTTTTTACTGGAAAAATCATAAATTAAAACGTCTAATAAATTATGAACGGAAATAGCAAAAAGAAGTGATATTTTTCTTTCTTGCGTTTCATCATATTATATCGTTTATTGTAATATGTTGTGTGCACAAGATGGTTTCTAGAAAGGTAAGAACTACCTTTCCAAAGAAAAGATAAGAACAAAAATTTAGAATAAAATCGTTCGAAATTTAGTTTGAAAAATTTGTTTAATGTGAATTGATTAGTTATTAATATACCGGGTATAAACAAGGTTAAATTAAGTAAAAGAAAATACAACATTTTTCCATTTAAAGTTTCGTTCTCAAAAGGATAGATGTAAATATATTTATATAGATAAGTTCACCAGTAGCTGGGAATGTAGGAAGAAGATTCTCCTGAAATGTCATTCTTCGACAATACTGTGATATATATATATATATATATATATATATGTATATGTAAAGATATATATCTATCGAGCGAAAGTGTACACATAAGTAAATAAAATTGTGTAGCATAGCATAACAATGAAGAAGAGAAGCGAACTGCTTCCTTTACTCCTTTATATTATGCTATATACCATGTTCAATCGAAGAGAAACAATAAATTTAAACTTAAATATGTTTTAAATATGTTTAATTAACAATTGGTGTGAGTATAATTTTTTCGAAAACAAAGCAATCTGTAAAAGAATTGTATTTAGATATTTTATTTATCCCACATTTCCTATTTATTTTCACATATTACATATAAAATAATCTCCTGTGGATTATTTGTTCCTGTATTGAGACTGGAATTAGCCAAGTTCAAACACACTTGAACTTTCTTGAGAACTAAGCCTCAAACAAAAAAATTTTATTCTATACTTTTTTTCTTATCTTCTTAAGAAAAAATATATAAAGTTTGTTTGTAAACGATTTGTTAGAAAATTGTTACATTGATCGATTGATATTGATTGCTAAACATGCAACAGATTGGAAGTTTAATCTCTTGATTTTTATTTATGAGAAACTTCAAAACAAAAGGTACAAAGTAAGTAACAAAACAATACAAAAGTAAGTAACGCGTAAATAATTAATTCAACGAGTTAATAGTTCAATTGCTGAGATGCAGATGAAAATTCAGAATGTAATAAATTTTATATCTAATCGATGTTGCATCAAAGTAGATTCAGAAGGAAGCTTTAAAAATTTTCAACGATTGATAAAAAACGAATACTATATTTTTACACAAATTCCAACACGATTCTCAGAAACAAAAAAATTTAAATATTCTCAATTTCGCGCGTTCTTCCGGTGTTCGCTGCAAAAGGACATACATAAGACGAGCATTCCGATATATTTTGCATTCAATCGAAGAAAGAAACTTGACGATCGTGGAAACATGGAAAAATTACACGATTATGAATTGTATTACAGATGCTTCTAACATCTTCCCTAAATGCTTGTTAGAAAGCAATTTGTTCAGAATGTGTTAAAAATGGAAGTTTCGTACCATAACAATCGGTTGAGTTTTCTGAAATTATAACTCTATCACATGCGATTGATGCTGAAAACTTTGACAGCATGCAAACTGCGGACATCGATGCTTGATAAATATTGGTTGATATACCTATAGATGATGAGGAACTAATTGAAGTTATTACGGTAATAATGAGGATCCTAATAACAAAAGTAAAGGTGAAATTTATCACCTAACAGCTGCTTTGATTCATGATCCCGACCTAGAACGAATTTTAAAACTCCACCGAGACCTGCAGATTTATATGGATATCGAGAAATGTATAAGCAACTTGTGGAACAAAAAACACAGATGACAGACTTCTTAATAACATGAAATTCAACGACACAGGACAGTAATAACAAACAAAAGGCTTCATTAGATTGTAACACATTAATCATGTTAGATATTTCTAGCGATGAAAGCGATTTATGTCCAGTTCCTTATAAACTGCGTGTATTATCAAATAGCGATGAATAGTATTATTTTTTTCTTAATTAAAATACACACGTATGAATAATATTCATATTTTTTCATTATTACCTTTTTTCTTTAAACGACTTTCCATACCACAATGTTCTTTTTTTCAAATAACACGATTTTTTTAAAAATTTAAATAAACCAATCTTGAATTCTTCTGTGAATTCTATCACTTTTTTTTACACGGTTTTTGATGGATCTATCGTGTAAAAAAAGAATTGAGTGCACCTTGTACGTGCAGATATATTCAGGCTACTTTCAATATTTGCCCACAACTTTATAACAAATCATTTACAAACAGATTTTATATAACATTTTTGTTCTTATTTTCCATTTTTCCAAAAAAAAATAGGCAACACTCTATATATACATAACTTTCATTTTTGTAATGTTTATTTTTAATTGTTAACATATTAGTACAGGGTATCCGTAATTATTTTTAATTGTTAATATATTAGTACAGTAATTTATGTATGTAATTTAAGTATGAAAACTTCCAAGGATTGATAAACTAAAAAAAAAAAAAAATCCTGTAGAAATTTGCTTGTTTTTTCTTCAAAATGGAGAAAATGATGAAAAACAAACAAGTTCATTTATTCAGAACATTTATTCAATACCAATCAGTTCAAGGAAGTAACTAAGGATAACAAGAAACTTTTTTTTTATTTTCAACTTCATTAAATAGATGACATAAATGATAATAAATCATTTATTATATATAAAATAATAATATAAATAATAAACGATAACATGAATAAATGTAAATAAATAAGAAAAGAAATAAGAAAATTTATTTGTTTGTTTTTTTCGCGATTATTTCTAACATGGAACAAAAACGAGTAAATTTCTAAAAAACTTTTATTTTAGTTTACTTTTTATTAATCTCTTATATCCCGATTAATTGTATATCTAATATAAATATATCGTACATATATATATAATATATACTTATATATAATATATATGTGTAATTATATATATAATTTTAAAGTTGGAATAATTAAATTATAAATTATAAATTTATTTTTTTACGAGTAAGTAAATCGAGATTTAGAACATTAAATTTAAAATGTAAAATTTTCAAAACCATAATTAATATTTTGTTACTGTCAACTGACAAACACAAAAACATGAGAAGCCATTAGAAAAAAAGAAACAGAGATAAGTTTCAAACAATTTCGATATGATCAAGCAATGATACTCACATACTATACAAAAAACTTTTCTTTTATTCTCATGCTTTCAAAAATATAGTGTTACGAAGAAAATCTAAAAGATATAGTTTATAAATTCTACAAAGTTAAAATTACAATATCTCTCCTAAACTAATAATTTTTCGACATACATGGATTAATTCTTATAGAGAATTAAAGAATCTTTTATAGAGAATGTCGAGTTGCATCGAACACTGAATTAAAAATGATATAATTCCATTTAAAGAATCGTATTTCATCTTCGTATCACCTTTATCAACAGAAAAATTAATTACAGCATTATGATTTTGTCGAAACTATTTACTTCTTATTTGAACAATTTTTTTTATATAATACGTAGTTTTCGAAATAATCCGCATTTATAAATTAAAATTATATATAATAAAAGCAAAACAAATCCTTTATCTCTATTTTACCTCAAATAATTAAAATAGTAAATGATGTATTTATATAAAAGATATTATACAATATAAACATCATGTATACTTTTAACATTTATTATTGTTGCTTCACATATGTACTATAATACATGTATAATATAATATAAATTCATTACTAAATTAAATATAAATCTATACATATAATTTATGTAATGATTCTTCATATGTATACATCAGACATACAAGCATTTATAAAAATATTTAGGCATATAAATACATATAAAATCATAGTTTTATTACTGACTGTAGGTTATCATATATTATTCTTTGGCAAATCTTCAGTTTCTTCCAAGAACTTTAATAAAAATAAAAAGTAATAGTAATAAAATATCCCCAAAAATAACAGTAAAACCTTTTTTATATTTGTACTGTCATCTTATATTTGAATTAAACTATTAATTATCAATATTATATATTATACTATTATATACTATTTTAACATACATTATATTCTATTATATACTATTTTAACATTGAACGTGTTATTAAATATAACATTATATGTATATGTGTAACACAATATTCTTATATGCAAATTTCTATATGCAATTATATAATTTTTATATAATTTTTTATAATTTTATATAATGAATCATATAATTGAACAGGAGAAATATGCATAATAGAATTTACAATATTTATCACCAACATTTAAATATTTCGCATCTATTATTAATATCGCAAATAATTAGAAAAACAGAAAAATATAAATAAAAGTGAGATAATCACGATATGCAAACATTATTGAATTGTGCTAGAGCTGTCTTATTTTCTATTAATGAAATCATCAAGATGATGTAATCATTTTTAGTACATCACCTAACTCGTTTGCATAATAATCTGGAATTATCAAATCTTTGGAATTTGTAGTAGAAGCATTCATGATATCTATATCATTTTGTGTTGTAATACCCGTTAATACAAGAAGAGTTTGGAATCCACAACGCTTTCCAAGAAGAATATCGGTATCACAACTGAAATAGAATAAAACTGTGTTTCAAAAATCACAAAGTATTCCTGTATAATATTATTATTATGAATGATATTTACTTGTCACCAATCATAAGCGTTCTTTGGGGATTTAAACCATATTTCTTTATAATATATTCACTTAAAAAAGATTCTGGTTTCCCCAGCATCACTGCTGATCTATTAGATGCTACTTCTATAATTTTTATAAAGCATCCAGTTCCTACATAATTAAAATTTATATTTAAATCTTTTAAAAAATATTTGGAACAAACAAATGAATTATAATAAATATTTTTGCAACCTGGGAATTTATTAGTATTTGGTGAAGGTCTTTCCGTATCACAATTTGTCCCTATAAAATAAACACTTGGATCTTGTAAATAAGTAGCAGCTTTTAAAAGCTTAGGAAAACTAAAGTGTTTGTCAAAGCCTACAATAACTGCTCCAACTTCTGGATCTGGCTTAAAATTTTTTATCATTTCTACTTCATCTTCTTCCATTATATCTGGCTATGATAATAAAAATAAATTTTACATTATTAATTTGTTGCAAGATTATACAAACAATTATATATTCTTTGTTTAAAAACACTTACTCCAACACCACAATATTTGATACCTTCAGTTTCCAGTTCCTTAGCAATACCAGCATTTCCAACTATATATACTTTTTTATCAAATTTTTTTTCTTTGAGATACACAGCAGACAAAAATGAAGTACATACTATTTCATCCTGAAGAAAAAATTTAAAAAATAGTTTATATTATAAATCTTATTTAATTAAAAAAATTACAGCATATATTTTACTTACCACAGTTGCATCATACTTAAGATTTTTACATTTTTCGAGAAATTCTGATCTTGTTTTAGTATTATTATTCGTTATATAAAAAAATTTTTTACCTAATTCCTTGAACTTATTTACAGTTTCTGGTGAATTTTTTATTACCTCGGTTTCTTTCCATAATACGCCTAAGGTTTACTAAGATTAAAATATCATTTATAACATTGCACATTGAAGTATTTTGTCCATTACTATTTTTCAATTATTAAATACTTCAATAATTTTTTATAGAAATTATTTATGCTAAATAATCACTCACCATCACAATCTGATAAAATTACATCAATGGAATCTATGAAATTTTTAAATTCTGCGTTTGATAATGATAATATATGTTTTGCTGTCATTTTACAACAACCTACAGATATGCCTTTTCAAACTGAAATGACTCTACTATTCATACAAAGTACACTCTTTGTCAATTAACCACTGTCACAACTAAAGAGAGAACTTTAAACAGAGCATCTCTTACTGACGACCACGCATTTGCAACGTGACCTTGTATGCTTATTACATAATACAAGGATATAAATTGATCGTATTTCATTCACAACGACCAATATATATATATATATAATTGACAATGATTACAAATCAGTATCGAGAAAAATGAAACAATTTTAATTTATACATTTTGTTATTTATATTAATTTACTGAATTTTAATTATTAGGTATTTTCGAAATGTGTTTCGTAAAAGATAATATACGTTCATGTATTTTTTTCAATATTTGAAAATTAAAGAATAAATTATATTTAATACGATTTAATGAATCATAATCATATTATAATCATTAAAAAAAACGATTTTGTTAAAAAAAAGGTTAGATATTAAAATTACATTTTCAAAAATGGAATGCGTACTTATATATGTATGTAGTATATGTATAATTTTTGTCAACTAATCATATGTTTTGAATAAATACAACTACAACAGTTTTAAATAATATTTTAATCATACTATAAATATAATTTTTTCGTCATATATATTCTATTTAGACATAACATATTTTTTTTTTAATTTTTCTAAATAAGGTAAAAGATTACCAAGTGATTCAATATAATAATCAGGAATAAATTCTTTCATTTGTTCACAATCTGACTGTTTCCACCTATCTATATCCTTTAAACAAGTAATTCCGGTTAAAACCAATAGTGTTTTAAAACCACATCGAGTTCCTAATAATATATCTGTATTATGTCGATCTCCAATCATTAATGTGCGCTCAGGATTCACTTGAAATCGTTTCATTAATACATCTGCAATATAACTTTCAGGTTTCCCCATCACTACAGCTTTTCTCTCTGCACAACTTTCTATACATCGTACCAAACTTCCAGTACCTACTTAAAAGAATGTAATTATTGAACGTTAAATTATGAAATATTAAATTTTATGAAAAAATCATAAAAGATATATTGAATCATATATACCAGGTATAACAACATTATTAGCAACAGGAAATCTTTCATCTGTATTTGTAGCAATGAAATGTACATTAGGATCACTTAAATATGAAGCTGCTTTAACCATTTTTGGATAAGAAAAGTGTTCATCAAAACCAACTATAACTGCACCTATTTCAGGATCCTTATTAAACGTATTATACGGAATGTTTTTATTAATAGGATCTGCCCCTACACCAACATATGAAATTCCAACTTCTTCCAATTCCTTTGCAATTGCTATAACGCAAATTATTATATTCTATATAGTTAATCTCATATAAAATTTGATAATGTCAAGATAGAAGTATAACAAAATTATTATTCTTGCCTTCAGATCCTATAATGTAAACTTTCTTCTTGAAATTTAAATCTTGTAAGTAACAAGCAGACAAATTTGCTGTACATAAAATGTCTTCCTTAGTTGCTTTAAAATTTAAAATATTACATTTCTTAACAAATTCTTCCCTAGTTTTTGTACTATTGTTTGTTACATAAAATACTCTTTTACCAAAAGATTGAAAAGTATTTATAACTTCTGCTGCATTTGGCAAAGGATTCATATACATCCAAAGTACACCTAAAACATAAAATTACTACTATTATATATTTTATTAATTTGTAAAAATACAATAGTTAAAAAATACCTACCATCGCAATCAGTAAGTATAGTATCAATAGAATCTAAAAATCCTATAACTTCATCTTCACTGAGTGTTTCAAAATTTACTGCAGCCATGCTAAAAAATAAACAGATTATTGAGACAAATTATAAATGAAATATACATTACTGAGACAAATTATAAATGAAATATACATTATTGAGACAAATATAAATAAAAAACAATTATATAAAAATAAACATTTTATATAAAATTTTTATAAAATTTATAAGCCAAAATGTATAAAATATAATTTACAAAAAAATATAGTAAATGTATATACAATGCAGAGTGTAGACTGTTTTGAAAAATGAATATTTCAAATTTTATTTTAATGAATTCCGGAAGTGAAATAGCTTCCGATTAAATAGTTTCTAACAGTGTAGCCATTATTAAAATTAAATAAACAATAACCTAATAAATTGGTATCAATGTCAAGTTTATTTCAATAAAAATTAATTTCAATAATATATTATATAAAAAATTGTAAGTAAAACTCGTAGGACTTTATAAAGTAATACAGAGGTTAGATTATACATAAATTATTATTTAGTTTTTAATAAATACATTCTATTTAGATTTTTATTTTTATATTGTTAATTGAGCAAAAAAATAATCATATTTATCATTTTATAGCGATACATAAATTGTATAAAACTTACATATTTATTAAGGTTAAGGTTATTATTTGCGTCTCAAACTATAGATCTCTTTTTTTCTTTATTTTATCATCTGCGTTTATTTTTAATTTTAAAATTAAACAAATATTTATTATTAGGAAACATTATAATTATACTTCTAATTTAATTATATTTTCTTTAGACAATTTTAATATTGTTAAAATATAATGTTAATATTTGATATTTTAGTTATTGAAATTTAAAGTATAAAATAATAATATATTATTTATGTAATAACGTTTGAGATAATAATCAAACACTGTGAACATAATTATGCAAATTTTAAATGAATTATATAAAGAAATCAATAATTATATCAATAATTATAAATTATAAATATAATGCATTTAAAAGTTATATTTAAAAAAAATTTTTATGTTAAAATTTTGCTACACTTTGAAAAATAAAAAATATTTTAATATGAAAAAAATTAATTTTTATTCCACTTATATCTGTATAGATAATTATAAAACTGAATGTAATTTATAAACTTAAATTTATAATTTTTAAACTTAAATATAATTAACTTAATAAACTTAAATTTATAATTTATAATTTATAAGTTTTAATAATTTTCAAGTTTTATAATTAATATGTTTTATTACATGTTACAAACAAATGTCATAAACATTTTATTCTATCATTACATTGTTTTTGTATTAAAAACTTTATATTTTCATATATTTTAAATATGTTTTTATTATTATTTTATTATTATTTTCTTACTTATTTTCTTACTCCTTCTATTATTTTATTATTCTTAAAAAAATATTTTATTTATTAAAAATATAATAAAAATAAACCAACATAATAAACATACAAAATTATTAAACATCAAAATACAAAATTATTAAATATCAAAAATATGATTTATTAAATTATTAATAGTTAAGAAAAATTATTTGTTTCCTATAAGATAAATTTTTTTTACTGTATACTTTATTTTATAAATAAATAAATTATATGTGTGTGTGTGTGTGTGTGTGTGTGTGTGTGTATAGTTAGAAATACTAATATTTAAAATTTATTCTATTTTTCTTTTACTAATAAAATCATTACAAATTTTTCATTAAAATTTATTATAAAATATATTATACCTTAGTTAAGTACATATTTACTACATATGTGAACAATATTTATGTATGTATAAGAACTATGTTTGCAATCAGTCTCAAACTTTCAAACTGATTGCGAATACAAGAAGAAATAAGCTAGATAATACTAAATTTAAAAGAAACTCATAATGAATAAAAAATGTGAGAAATTGTTAAGAACAGTTACTAAAACTTGATAAAAATCTCTGCAAAAGAAAATGTATCCTACATTGAATATTATTATTATGTACATTTCTTATTATGAACATAGAAATTTTGAAAGTATAAGTTAAAAAACCAAATTCATAGTTTTCAAAAAATCGATTTAACACTTGAATTCATCGCACATCAATAATTAACAATTCGTAATAATTAAAACTAATATTCCATTTATCTCATCACTTCTTTCATATACTTGTTATTTCTTATCATTTCATGGATATTAAATTGACATTATAATCACAAACTTAGATTCAACAGAATAAGAATAAGAATTATTATATTAAAATGAGTGTAACTGGTTTATCAGTTTGTTAACACGTTGCAGTTGATAACGTAAAAGTACTATTCTATTTTTACATTTATATATTCATTCTTATGTTCATTTTTATATCATATATATTTATAATAAAGGGGCTACAGCAGAAAGTAGAGCTATTTCTTTGTTGTAAACAATCAACTTGAGAAACTTTTTCAATGCCAATTTATAATTAACGTTCAACTATTGACTACATGTAATTATGTATTTCTTTAAAATGTTTTTAATTTGAATTGAAATGGCCCCAAAGTGTCAGTCTTTTGATTTAAATTTTGTTAATTTTATTATATATAATATAATTGAGCATAATTCTACGAAATCCGATGTGGCCTCATAAGAAAATACTATCTACATTCCACAGCCAATGGCTTCTATAACGCAATTATAATAGATACATATAATAACTGAAAGAGCATTTTGTTCGAATATTTGTTAAATACTCAAGTAACGTTACAGTATCTTAATCAAAATGTTACTTTCGTAGCAAATAATTGTTAATTCTACTTATATAAATAAGAAAATAATTTAAAAAAATTAATAAGGAACATATTATTAATAGCTATATAAAACTATATTACCTGAAAAATTACTCAAACAAAATGCTCAAAGTTATTAAAGCAATAACTATAAGTCTTTCTTAAAACTAAATATTGATGAGATTTCCCTATAGTAAATATATTATTACATTCCAATATATGTGAATATAAATTGTTATGTTAAACCTATATGCTATATGTTTTCATATATAATAATTCTTAATTTTAATAGAACAAATTTATAATATTTGATTAACGAATTCTACACATTGACAATTACAAATTTCAAATATTTTCTACAATTCTAAAATTCATAAAATAAATTCATTACATTTTTTGTTTCCTTATTTACGATCAATTTATCAAAAAAATAAATAGGAACCAGCCTACAGATCATATACAGGATACTAATAAAAATTAATTAATAGAGAAATTCATTAAAAATATGACAGTTCAGACCGAATAAATTTTAAAATAATGTATGTTATCTTTCATAATTATTATCAACGATTATCTTATAATTTATACATATTGGTATCTCATTACCAGTCATTAGTCATAATGTCGACAAAAAAAAAAAAAAACTAAACCATTACTTTCCTTTTCTTTGCATATGCTACTTTAACTACATTCACAGTCTCCATTAACAAAGTATCTAATATAGTTACAGTAAGACCATTTTTTACCGCAAGTTCATCATGATGGAATTTTGTCCATTCATCTTCCTCAGCCTGAGCTTCTCTAGCTAATAATTCATCAACCCTGTCTCTTCGTTTCCTACTCCAACGCATTACCATGTTTTCCCGTTGTAATTTTGTTTTAAAACCAAACAATGTGGCCACTTCTTTATTCACATAAGCATTGAGCTCTTGTATAGTCTTAGGAATCTTCATTGTGGGTTTCGTCTTCACATTTGGTTTCGTCCAACTTGGACCTGGTTTTTCATATTCAGCCTGATAAACTTCAGCGATTGTTTCTTTGCATAGATCAAAGAGGAATGTGTTGTAAATTCTTCTGTCCTTTTTTACACTCTCGTCATTTTCTTTGGTTAATTCGCAGATTTCAAAAGGAGCTTCTAAGCTCATAATATCTTCTCCAGTCTCTTTAGCTTCAAATATTATTGCTGTAGCTTTTTCAGTAAATGCAGTTAATTCTTCTATATTGGAAGGAATTACGGCTGGAGGAGAAGAAGATGATCCAAGAGATGTTGAAATTCTTGCACCACTTCCAGGTGGTGTGTAGGGAGGTGGTGGTTTGTTTGGTATTTCTCTAACATAGAAAGATACTTCTTCCGCTTCTAACTTCTTAATCTATTATAAAGAAACATCCTTATAATAAAATGACTTCTACATAAAAAATACAATAAGATAACAAAAATTGTTACCTCTAATTCAATTTGAAGTTGTTCAATGCGGAGCAATTTTGCTTCCCAATCTGCAACTTCCATACCAGGTTGTTTCAATGAGGCTGTGTAAATAAAAATGTGGAATAATACAAAATTATCAAGTTTTATAAATAAGTTGTCTAGGAAAAGCAACACGAATCTTTACATTACGTTATGAGTTCACATTTTATTTTGATTAGGTGCTTTAATGATTTTTTTAAAAAAGAGGGAAACATCCAAATATGGATTAAAAAAATATTCTGATGCATTAATAAAATAATATTGTGATAAAATTATACATTCCAAAATTATATACAGGGTCAATATGATCAGTAACTTTATCATTTTGAATATCTTTATTGTTTTTGAAGATATGAAAAAAAATTGTTAACAAAAATTGTTTAATACAGGAAAGGCTATAATATAACAATCATAGTCTTTTTGTAGAAAGAATTCAAAGACATTTCAAGGCCACCTTCACTTTTTTATATCTTTTGTTTTATTAATTAACGCAACTCGATATTTTTTATAGAAATAATATCGACTTATCTATGTTGAAAAATTATTAATTTAATAAAAAATTATTAGATATTTTAAATTTTATAAAATTTATCTATGAAAAGGGGCAGTACGAGGATACAAGAATAATGTCACTGTCTTTTCTTATTTTTCATACTATATAGATTTTAAGCTTAAAATGTCTTCTAAATTAATAATTTTTCAACATACATAGGTTAATACTTCTTTTATAAAAAATATCTTACTGTATTGATTAATGGAATAAAAAATATAAAAAGTAGAGCTTAAATGACCATGAACCTCTTGACATACAAAAAACTATTATGGCTTCTTCTGTATTAAACAATTTTTGTTAACAAAATTTTTTCATATTTCTAAAAACAACAGAAATATTCAAGATGATTAAGTTATGTGCTTCATTCTGTATATATTTTTAATAGCCATCTTTTTTCAAATTTTGAGAAAACAGAATATAATGTTTTATATAATGTGTTGCACAATATTTACAGGCTTTTTTGTGCACAAAGAAATTAATAGTAGTACAGGTCAAGCACTCATGCAACACTGATTTGTATAAAAGGAACAAGTCAATGTTTGTTTCATTCAAAGTTTCGTGTTGTATTACCTTTAATTATTATCTCGACTTTGCTATTCTGAAAATAAATAATACATAGCTATACGAGGCAATGCTTTGCACAGGAATACACAGCCAACATAAAGATCAAAATGTGTCTCTGTAATATTGGTATGCAAGAATATATTATCATTTATGTATTAAATTATATAAACAATATTAGAACTAAATTAAATTTAAATGATCATATCCAACATATATGGCTTATACTGTAAAAATATTTATTCACTACATTCGTATATATTCATTCAATAGCAATATGATTTAAAACTCAATAATTTTTAAATTTATATACATGTGAAAGAAAAAGAATTCCATTTAACAAATTAAAAAATATTTACAAAATATAAAAAAATACCATTTAATTATGAATTAAATACTTAAAATTGTATTTTTAATAAAGTTTAAATTATATATAGTCTCAATTTTATAGTAATGTAATAGTTAAAATTATATATAAATAAAAATCATACCTTTTAATTTATCTATCATAACTTCTATATCCTTTTCAGATGTTGCAACAATGGGTGTGGTATGAAATGCATTTTTTGAATCTGTATTTTGATTTTCCATATTTGAATTAGTCAATAAATCATCATTTAACACATCAATATTCAATCTTGAATCATTGAGATCTCTAGGAGAATCCATTTCAATTTCTGATACGCCTTTTGGTGTATCTCTACCTTCACTTGATTCAGATAATACATCTTGTTCTTGTTTTTCTTTTTCTGCAATTTCATTTGAACTAATAACTATTTTAATCAATTGATTTTCTTCTTCTGGTGTTACTGCTTGAGGCTGTTGGTTTTCCAAATTATCTATTAGCGATTGTTCGTTTTTATTAATCGCTTCATCATCAATTTTTGAAAATGCAACGCTGTCTGTATCAGAAATTACTGTTTGCGATTTTTTATTGTTTTCCAAAATATATTTATTATTTTTAAATTGGTCTGTATCATTTTCTGAACTTGATGAAAATTTTTGTGCAATTTCATCAAGTATTTTTAATACATCTCCTGATTTTGGTATTGCTTCATATCTTTCCAGTATGGAAGATGATTTTTGTGAAAGAGCAGATTTCTGAATTTCACTTTTATCAAATATTTCAGAAACTTCAAGACTTTCTTCTGAAATATCTTCATATTCTGGATCTTTCAAAATGTCGAAGGTTTTATCTGCTATATTTTGTGAGGCATGCAATGAAATTGCTTCAATATTTTCTACTGTTTTAATATCATTTATTGTTACGGGAGGAGTTATTTCATATTGTATTTCATTTTTTTGAATTTTAATACTTTGAATATTTGTTTTATTATGTGAAATCGATTCTGACTCGCTAGGAAAATCTGTAGAATATTTAATCTCTTTTTCTATAACATCCAATACAGTTTCAGTTACTTCAACCAAATTGTCAAGCTGTTCGCCATCAGAACTATCTTGTTCTATTATAGGTTCCAATGATTTTAGTTCTTGTGCTGTTTTTTCTTGTGTTTCCTTCTTATTATCGCTTTTACTTATTTCTATAAGTTCTTCTTCTGCCAATTCTATTTTAGCATCAATTTCGAGTTCTGATAAACTTCCACTTTCCACACTTCCTGGTTCTAATTCTGTTATAATAATTTCTCGAGATTTAGATTCACTAAAATACGTATTTTCATCATCTTTGATTTCTGTATTTACATCTAGATTTATAGCGATCTCTGTATTAACTTCATTAATTATTATCTTTTCATTAATATTTCTGTCACTGTCAATATTCAAAGTAATATTTTTTTCATTAATTATTTCATCTCTATTTTCTTCTAAACATTTATTTTGTAAATTCAAAATTGATTTCTCTTTTTCCTCTACTGTGACTTTTATTTCATTTTTATTTGCTATACTATTTGCATGATTCTCAATTTTTTCTTTTATTGAATTATCCTCAATGCTTCTTTCAACTTTATCCAGTATCTTAATTACAGAATCATAAATAGCTTTTTGAAAATCATCGGTTTCTATACTGTGCACAGTTTCTTCTTCATATTGTTCTCTATCATTATTTTTAGTGATGATATCCAATATATCTTTAGCTTTATCATAGGAGTTTTCAAAATGAGAATCCATAATTGTTTCATCTAGTTTAGGCTCATATATAGCAATATTACTAGATTCACTTTTCGGAATAAATAGTGACATATTTTCTAAATCTTCTACGTCACTAATTGAGTTAATTTGATTTTTAGAATCATTAATTCTTTGGAATATATGTTTTGAATTTAACAATATACTCGAGTCATCGTTCAATAAGTTTGAAGTTTGACTTTGAGAATTTTCGCATACAGAATGGATACTAAATGAATCAGATGCAATTCGATCTTTATCAAAAGTTTTATTAATAAGTATTTCTTGTGTCTGACTTTCATTTTCATCGATTTTTTGCTTGCTAATATTTAAAGCATGATCAGAAGCATTTTGTTTAGATTCCTGCACAAATTTCTGAGAAACTTCTTTAGATATTAACATATCAATTGATACTTCACTTTTATTACTATCACTAAATTCTTTGCATTCATTTAAGATTAATTTTACACTTTCCACTTCTGAAGTTGGATATACATCATTTATATTTTTGTATTTACCATCATTTACTGTATTTTTCATATAATCTATAGAATTATTATTTATTTTGGTTAAATTTGATAACTGTGGAGAAATTTGTCTTTTTAATAATTCATTTATATATTCTGTAACTATTGTCTGTTTTGAATCATCTTGCAGAATGTATTTGAGAGATGAATCACTTTTATTTTCTAAATGAGTATCTATAGTAAGTACATCATTTATTATTGGGCTATGATTGAGATCTGTACACTGATTTGAAGATTCATCTTTTTCACTTGAATTAGATTTTTCTGAAAGCAAAGAAAGACTTTTATTCGATTCTAGTAATTGACGGTTTTTTAAGTTACGTGAATTAACCAAATTTTCTTCAATATTTATATCAACATTTTCTTCAGAATGTATTGTTTCAAATTCCATAGCATTCATGCATTCTTCACTCTGCATTGTTTTCGAGTAAGTTTCAGATAAAGATCTGATGCCAGCAGAAGTATCACTAGATATTTTTTCATCTTTTTTATATAAGCTTAAATTGTTATTCTCAATCAACATTTCCGAGCGACTGATATCGCCCTTAGTTCCTTTAATATGTTCTGATATTATAGATTTTTCGATTTCATTCAAAATTTTCTTGCTTCTTGCTTTATAATCAATTTCTTGGTTATTTGATTTAGAAGGCGACATTTTACTTTCTGGCATCATAACAGATATTACGTTATCAACTTCTTTAGTTATACTTTTATTGTCATTAAAGTTAGTAACTAATTTTAATTTTGTATCATTCGTCATATATTGTGAAATGTCAGAATTACTCTTTTTCTGATATAATTCTATATTTGCGTTTTTGTTCTCTTTTATGATTTCCACGTCAGAAATTTCATTATTTTTATCAGATACTGAAAGTATTTCTGATATATCCTTTGATGTACTTTTTTCTTCACTTTGTGACTCGTATTTTGCTTCTTTGTTTGATTTTTTATTAAAACGCGACATCATTTCTGAAAGTATTTTTAATTCATTTTCTAATGAGCTTATATCCTCGTTCAAAATCTGATTATTTAGACGTAAAAAATCCATTTTTTTAGAAAAATCAATATTGTCATTAGTAAATTCGGTGTTGATTTCCGTATTAGAATTTTGAATATCATTCGATTTTCTTGAAGATATATATGAATGTTCTGAATGTTGTAATTTATTATCTTCAAATTGTGATGAAATAGTTTTAGCCCGAGACTGTTCAGAAAACGTGTCAAAATCGGATTTATACTCCTTTAAGTCAGATTGAATCGTAGCATCATGTTTAGAAAGTTTAGCTTCGGATTGTGTAACTATATCTGTTTCGGATTTCGATATATTGTTTTCAGTTCTAATAGTTTCAGAAACATTTTGTTTGTTTTCGATTTCATCTCTCCCAGTTTCATAAGAAATATTTTTGTCAAGTCGTCCGCCAGAAACTAATGACATCGAAGCAGAAGCAAATTTATCACTTTCAATTTGTTCTGATATATTTTTATCAAAAACTTGACTGCTATAATTTGCCATATTCATTTTAGCAAAACTCAATTGTTCCAACATTCTCGTGCTTTTTGAAGATTTAAGTACTTCTTCAGAATCATTTCTATCGGTTTCGATAGTTTCATCTTGTAATAAATTATTTTTCATGAAATCTTTTGCTAATAATCTTTTCGTAGAAAATAAATCAGATTCTGACCTAGACCTTAACAAATCGCTAGATTTGAACATATCTTGCAGCTTTTTTAGAGGAATCTCAGGTATTTTGAAGTCTGCTAATGATTTTGACTCTATCGCTAATTTATCGCTATCTTTAGAAAATCCTTTTTTCGATTCCAATTTTTTACGCATTTCGTAAATCGTTGCATCATATTTCTATTTGAGCATAAAAGATCATTTAGTATATATAATCAATAAAATTTATCTTATCAAATCTATTATAAAATCAATCTGTTTAAATCTACTATCAATATTAAGTTACCTTAATTTGATTCAACAAGTTAGCTTCTAAAGCCCGAAGTTTTTGTTTTGTTTGTTTTCTGGCTTCCTTTTTTAAGCATGACATTTCTATTCGTTTTTTAGCTAATTTTTCCGTAAGTAACTCTATTCTTCCTTCAATATCACTCGTGTCCGATGAAATAGTAGTATCTATAAAATGGCACATATTCCTTTTTAATAATTATCAAAATTAAAAGATTTATGCAACAAATAATTAAACGTAAATTATTAAATATTATATTCTATACATATTTCTATATATTTAAAAGTATCTATTCATATATATTTTAATTGATTTTTTCAATTATAATTTTATGTATATATATATATATAAATCAACAAAAAGTTACTTTGATATACATATATGAAAAAATCAACAATAAAGTTACCTTGATGTGAAAGAGCACTAGATGCAGCAGTTATAAGTTTAATTGCAGTCTGTTCCATTTGAGTAACATGATCTTCTTCATTTTTTAACTTCGTATGCCAAGCCATCCAGTTTTTTACACAATTTTTCCGAGAAGTAAGCGCAGCTTCACGTGCATTCAAAACTCTAAAAAATGTAACCACGTCTGATAATACAAATACACTTTCCATATCGATTATTACACAAAAAGTAATACGAAAATTGCAAAAGTTCGAAGTTATTAAAAACAATTATTTAATTGTAAAAATTAAGCCAGATATTCTTTGCCAACTGTAAAATACTGCAAGAACGCCGGTTCACTGAATCTATTTTTACAATGCTTCATAGTGTGAATATATGAATACATTTATTATTAGACTTCTACAAGTATCTCTAGTGATTCGTAATTTTACTAATTTAATTTAAATGTTATATTAAGAACGCCTATCAAAATTACGATAAAATATATAAAATATATAAATTAATTTAAAGAAAGATTATACTCACTGCTCAAGTTTTTCAGATATTAAATTATGATCTTGCGAACTAACAATCACGGATTTGGAATAATTTCTGTTGTTTTCTCCAGAATTGTGATGAGAAATAGCAAAATTACCAATTTGAGGTTTTGTGGATGTCTCATCAAAATTATGTTCATTATTGTCTTGATTACACAAGAAATTTTCGTAAGAATTTATATTTTTATCAAACATTTTTTGACAAAATACATTCTCTTTACTATCATAATCATCTGCCCTATCTGTTAATGATTTTAAATTCTTCTCCTTCGTATGTTTATCCATAATTGTAGTTTCATTATTCTTATCTTCTTGAATAAATTCCTTTTCCATTTTTGTCCGTTTATTGTGATGTTTAACAAGCTCTTCTGACATTTGAAAATTGGATTTGGATCCTAATATATTTTCCGTATCTATACTAGATGACGATTTGCTTTTTTGATACTTTGAACTTCTACGTTTAAAATTTGACTTAGATTCAGAACTATATTGAGTATTTTTGGACATGTCAGTCGGGATTGATTTACTGCTTCGTTTAGAGCTTTTTGAGTACATCTGTAAAATATCTTCCGATACTTGTGATGATTTTGATGTTTTCAATATGGTGTCTTGACCAACAGAACTTACTTCTTCTGACAAAATTTCACTATTTGTAGCAATAGTTTTCAAAAATTCCTTTGGAGATACCATACTTTGAAAATGATCATCAATTATTTGAGAAGGCTTTGACTTCTTAGATAATTCTTCTACTAAAGTTTCAGAATCTGATTTAATATGTTCAGAGATAGATTTATTTGAATTCTGTTGTGACAATTCTACCTCAGAAGATTTTTCTTTCTCAAAAAGGTATTTCCCAGGAATACTCATACTGGAATGATTTGGAATTAATTTTGAATCAACAGAATGTTGATAAGATTTCAATTTTATAATGTCTACTTTAGGCATCTTTTCTTCAAATTTTCTTGACTTTATCTCATATTTTGATATGTTTCCATCTTTCTGTGCTTTATGAAGATATTTTTCTTGTGAGATATTACTTTGTATAGGCTCATCAGATTTATCGATCGACGCATTAGATTCTTCAACGAAATTCGGAAATTTATTACTTTGTATAGGTTCATCAGATTTATCAAGCGACGCATTAGATTCTTCAACGAAATTCGAAAATTTATTACTTTGTATAGGTTCATCAGATTTATCAGGTGACGCATTGGATTCTTCAACGAAATTCGTAAATTTATTACTCTTTGGTAAATCAATTTTAGAAAAATGCAAATCATTTTCTGATATCTGCATGCGTGCTTCTATTTGAGATCGATCGTGCTGAGATTTATCAGAATCAAGCAGAGAACTCATAGAACTATTACTTCTTATATCATAACCCTTCATAGGCCCAGATAATTTCCTTGGAGACTGACTATCTGCACTTCGTTTTAATTTTGTTAAAATATTTTTAGTAGATATTTGAGGATTGAACATATTTCTCTGTTTCTGTAGCATAAGCTTACGTTCTTGACTTGCAATTTTGTGAAGCTCTTTTAACCTAAAAATATAATTAAATAAAATAAACATAACTAAATAAAGTATTTTTAAATATAAAGAACTACAATACCTATTCATTTCATCTTTTTCTTGTTGCAGTTTTAAAAGTAAAGCTCTCTGTTTCTTTTTCACAGAGCTAACACGACTATCTTGCCCAGTGTCTTTTAATGCTCGTTTTTGTTCTTCCAGTTTCACTAACTTTTTAGTTCGATCAATTAAGGTTTTTTCACGAGATTTGAACAACATCTCAATTTTGTCGTATCTTTGTTTCTCATCTTGTAATAGCTGTGCAATCTACAAAAATGCATAACATGTTTAATCATAATTTATTATATAAACTTTTATCTTATTATACTTACTTCTAGATCTAAATATTTATTAAAAGAACAAATTATATCTCGAGTAGAGATGCTAATTTCTGTTCCAGTCTCTGTTCGTATAGACGATGTTGTTTCGTGTAAACTTATTTCGGACATCGTTCTTAGCTTACTAGACAACGATATTTCTTCTATTTGATCCAAATCTCCAAATTGCTCTACCGAGTCTAAAGAAAGCTGTGGAATTTCATTGTCTCCAACGAATTCTTGTTCATATGATATTCCACACATTTCTGAGCATTTATTTTGTACATTTCGTCGAGGTGAACGTATATCTGTTTGAGTTGCCATATCATTCATTGTTTGAGTTTGTACTTCTACAGCTTTAACTACTGGTTTAATTACTTTATTCACATTGTCAAATTCATTTGCCACAGTCTGACTTGTACTATGATGAACTTTTTGAGTTGGAAACTCAAACACTATATCAATATTAATATTTTCATTAGTAATTAATAATTTTCATATATTATAACAAATAATTTACTAAATCTTTTACCTTTATCAGTGACAACATGTTTATGTGATATATTAATTTCATCAGAATGTTCCATATCATTAGTATTCCTTTCATCTGTTACTTTAGAGAAATATGATTTCACTTGGTCATTTGACTGACTATCCTGCAATGGTAACTCTTTTTCTTGATTATGTTTAACATCATATAAGCATTTTTCAACATCTATAACCTGTCTCAGTGATTCATTAAATGAATCAAGAAGATGCAATTCAGCTTTAAATTGCATATGTAAGGCAGTTGGATGTAACTATAATTATAAAATTAGTTTTATAAAATTACATGGATTAAATAAAATAATATATAATATAATGTAATATATAAAATACAATAATAATATTTACTTACCAATGAACTATTTTCTGGCTTTTCTGTTTCAGTTTTATTCATATTATGTTTTGAATATTTAAACTCAGCTTCCATATTACTATTTTGCATAAATTCCCGCTTTCGCTTAGATCGAGGCATAAGATTCATATCTGGTGTAATTAAATCACAAAATTCTTCTTGTTGTGAATGATTTTCGTCCCTAAATGAAATTCTTCTTGGATCTAATAATGCGCTTGATAAAATACTGTTGTTTAAATTAGATTCATTACTATCACTACTTTGTTTGACTGTAGTAGCAACGCTTTCTGTAAATGATGTTTCTTCCTTTTTTGTATTTACATTGGTAGATTGTGTTAATGAATCATCTGCATACTTTAAATCTTCAGTAACTTTATTTGATTTACTAACACTTTGTGCAATTTTCTCAGAATCCTTATTTTTTATCTGTTGTGTAGACACAATGATTGGACTTTGACTTCTTAGACTTATATCTGAATCAGTTACACTTTCTATATCTTCAAATTCTTTGGAATTTATTATATACATTTTGTTATCCATTTTACTTGTTGAAGGTTTTACTTTTTCGGATTTCTTATTTTGTTCCTTGAAAAATATGTTTCCTGTCTTTCCTTGTGTTTGACATGTTGTTTGATGTTGTTTAACTTGTCTATTTTCTGATAAAAACGTACATATCTGATCATCTATCTGTTTTAATGTATGTGAATCATTCTTATGTTTAGAATCAAAATTTTCAAATATATTTCTAGACTCTTTCATTGTGATACCTGATAATTCTGAAGATCGTTCAGAAAGTGTCTCGTTATAAGAAAAATCTCTTGATTTCAAAGATCTAGTATTAATAGATCTATGTTTCTTATCGTTAATCTTTTTAGCAGTTGATGTTGCGAAGTTTTTTGGTTTTGGTTTTGTTGGAACAAAATCACTTTCTTTTGGAATATGGAATGACAATCTGTCATTTTTTAATTTCATACTTAATGTACTTTCATTTACATTGTTAGAAATATCTTTTCTAGAAATATGTCTTGGACTTTTAGATCTTTTAGGAAAATCTTGTATTGTTTCCTCTTGGTTAGAAAACAAAGATTCATCTTTTCTAATTCTTTTGGATCTGTTTTCCTTTTCTCTAGAATTTTCTCTAACATATTCTTTCTTTTTTGACAAATTTGAAGATATGGAAATATTTGGCACCTTCAACGGCTCTACCTCGCTATTGATAGTTGACGAAATATCTGAGGTTGAAAAATCTAATCTTCTTTGAACTCGTTCAAAACTTTTTGTCGATTTTTCTCCTCTTTCATGAATAAACTCCTTTGCAGGTGTCTCACACTTTTGTGATATCAACTCTTTTGATGCGCAATTTTCCCTGTTGGAAAAATCTAGTTTTTTTGCAGAAATTTTCAAATCTGGAACCTTTAATGGCCTTATGAAATCCATCGTCTGTACAACTTGATGCAAATTCTGCGTGCTATCAGATTCTATTGCTGGTTTAACTGCATTTTCATTATTGGGTTCATACGTTTTCCTATAAACTTCAGAACCATCGTTTAAAGCTAATTTTCGTTTCACAGCACTTATAAATGTGAAAGGATATGGTTGAACAGAATGATATGATAAGTTTTCTAAACTTTTCAAATCAAATTGAATTGGAATATTAGATGTTGCGTCTTTAGATGATTGCTTACTAATGTAATCTTGCTGCTGTTAAAATTATATTTTATTAGACTATATTGTTAACAATATAAATAGTAATTGTTACATTATAATTTTCGTTTATAAAATCATTGTAATATACGTAGCAAAATGATAAAATGTAATATAAAAATACTTAAATTCTATTAACTTACTGTAGATATTTCAGCACGTTGAACAATAATGTCAGGATCAGTGAAAAAAACATATTTTTTTTTCGCATTAATATTTTCTTTTTTGGAATTACTTTTCATATTTTTACATGTGTTGCTTAACAGCAAATATATATTTGGTTGTCACTTGCTTGTCCATAGTTGCAATAAACTACAAGCACAATTTCTAAATATTAAATGCATGATTTTAAAACAAAACATTAAAAAATATCAATTTTTATGATTGTCATTCCTATCTAATGAAACAAAATTTAATTGTCAACATATTACATAAATTAAATTAAATAACTTATATTTTTATTATACATAACAATGATACTGATATATAATTTCATTACAAACAATCTACTAGTATATTAAAACTTACATTCAAATATTTACTACAATTGCCATTAAACACAAGATGCAGTTAATTCATAGAAGAACGTTAAAATTTAACGTATTTATAACCTAAGGCGCCATGTTTTATAAATATAAAATTTTAATTTTATAAAATTAATTTTCAAATAATCAACGAAAAATGTCAAATACTTCTTAAAATATTCGAGAGATAGCTAAATTTTTGTATATCACGTATCATTTATATTTTCATGATACTAAACAGAATAACACTCGTCGCAACGATCATTTGTAAACGACAATCACGTGGTATTTTGTGATTTCCTACTTGCGTAAAATTGAAAACATGGCAACAACAAAATCGAAATAATCGATAACACGATTGTTTGCAAATGCTAGTGATGCAAATGCTATCAATTGTAAGAAACTATCTTTAACAACGAACATAGTGAAAAAAATGATAACATCAAACGAGAATTTATTCAAAACATCTTAAATATTTGCAATTCTGTCAATCTCGGCAACGTTGATACTTATAACAACAAAGTGAGTTGTGAATATAAACATGTTGATACGTGAATTAATTAAAAATGATTTTTTAATTATTGTTTATATCTTTGTTCTCAAATATTTAGAATAAAACAAAGAATTATTCGAATTTCTTGAAAACAATATTAACAAAATAAATACTTGTTTTTGAAATCTTAAAAAAAAGTTACAATATTGGTTTATATTATTTATTATCACAATATTGTTTATACGATATATTTATTGCTACGATATTAGTTTATATTATTTATTTATGTGCACAAATGCATATTTACATTCAGTTAGTAAAAGAAAACAGTATGACAATTAATTTTATACATACTGTTCATTGTAATAAATCGATTAAATACATTTTAAATATATTCGCCATCTTCAAATATCATGTACATTTACATATAAAATGGCTATAGGATATTCACGGATTTACTTTTTCCCATAAACGGTAGATGTGGAAAAATGAAAGAGAGCAAAGTTGTAGTTTTTTGTATTCTTATGTACTTGTAATGTATGTATATAAAAATTTTTTCCAGTCATATTGTTTTTTGCGAACTAAAGTAACTTTTTTGCGACTTTCAATTTTTTAAATGGAATGCTACATTCTTTTTTATATTATGTAAAAGCGGATATAAAGCAAATTCGACGATATACATTCAATGACCTTTACAAGAACGAAAGAAATAATTCGGATACTGCGTATATTGATGTATGTTTCATATTACATATTTTATATTATATGCTATACAAAAGTTTTCCCAAACAAATCGAAATTAAATGAAGTTAATTGAATAATAATAATTAAAGAAAGAATGTAGCATGAATCATAAATGCTGAAATTATGAAGCAAATATTGAACGAAAACACCAAATATTTTAATAACAAATTAGTAATAATAAATTTTGTAAAACCAATCGTATTTTTGCGTAAATATAAAATAAAATTTTCAGTAAATGCATAATGCAAAAAGGAGCCAAAGGGTCGGACGAAAAGCAATTGTCAAACGCTATCCAAGTCTAAAATTATGTGTATTAAAGATACGTGTATATATCAAATAAACTGATGCATAGAAGAATTATTTACAAAAGTTGGTGATAACGTATAAGTAACATATAAGTACCTTTAAAATATAATAATTTCGTATAATCTATCTTTAAAAGATAATAATTAAAAGATAATATTAATTATTTTTTTAAATAAAAATTAATGGATATTATTATTTAGAATATTATTATTTGAAATATTATTATCTTATATTTCAATGAAACAGTTGTTTCACAATAGTATTCGTATCAGTCAGTATTAAAATGTAATATTTGAAATATTATTTCTTTATGCAAATACTATTTCAAAAAAATAGAATGGATTCACTAAAATACAATATAGATACTAAATAAAATTTATTTCTTTCCAGCCTTAAATAATCAATGTAACATTTACGAACTATATTTAATTAATTAATTAATCACTTAATCCTTATTAAAATAAATTATTCATTTATCTCGAATATCTAATGTAAATAATAAATCACTGGATAAAACCTATCACTGTAAATACAAAATTACTCTTGCACGAAGCTAAGTTGAATTTAGTTTACTTTACTTTTATTGTAATCAACAAGAATTATTTAAAATGTATAAATTTTTATTTCAAAATATTGGCGTAATGAGAATGAATTCATTACATTCTGAATTTCTTGAGAATTTTATTGTAGATTTGCAATCAGATTATTTAATAATTATTGCATAATTATTTCTGTATTATACCATGGACAATTTTTTATGCCCTGCAATGACGAATTCGTTGCTATGCATACATTTTTATATACATATAAACTATATTCAACAATTACTTATAATTATTTTCATTTGTAGATCGCGCTCCCACGATTTGCTTTGAAAAACTAGACACCTTGTGTATTTGAAGTTTTCCAATCTATGACGATTTTGAAACGTTGTTGTATGATACGTAAATATTTAAATAATACAATAAACTACAGTTAATTATTAATCATGATTTCACTTTTGCGGAATTGCATTTTGAACCAAAGGAAACTCTTTGTGCAAGAAGTTTATAAGAATATTACGTTTAACCGAATATCTATGTATTGTATGTGTGGTAATATCAAGGTTAGAAATTCTTTTTAAGAAACATTTTACTATTTTCATAAAATTACCAATATATCTAATAGAAGACAACGAAATTTGCCCTAATTAATCTTTCTTTCAAATATTATGTACTTAGAACGTTTTTATATATTATTTTATAGTTTATGTAATACATCTTAAAACACATTTTGTTTTGTAAAAAGTATACAAGAATATACTTTTTGTTACAGAAATTCAAACCATGTTTGCAAGTAAAGCATTTTTCTGATAAATACAATGAAATTACTGAAAAAAATCTAATATATATTGGATCGGATACATGGAAAGTCCGAAATATTAAAATATTTTCTTTGCTGTCATCACTTATGTCAATAGGTTTTCAACCTTTTCTTTATATGAAGCTCGTAGAAGAAGATAATTTGGCAAATGCAGGATCAATATTTGCACTATTTAATATAATTACTATATCTAGTCCTCTTTTAATACATTTACTAGCAAAGAAATATGTAATCGAGTTGTATCATCATCCTAAAGAAGAAAAGTATACTGCTAAAATGTTTACATTGTTTTGCAGAGAGAAAGAAGTATTTATATTTCTTTAAAGTTATTTATTATTTATTTACACTATTTATATAATATCTTTATATTGCAGATAACATTCACTAAAAATGATGTAACTGAACCTGCAGTAGGTACTGGAATGTTCACAACGTGTATTGCAAAAGGTTATCCCTTAATGCTTCATGAAAATAAATTCCTAGAACCTAAACACTTTAACATCATTATGAAATATGATGAGCCAATAGACTTTGAAATAGAGAAATTAAATGTTACTGCGCTTAATCGACCTCCAATAGAAAATAAAAATATGATAGAAAACAAAAATGCAAAACAAAAATAATTTAGACGTATAGTTTTATTTATTACATGATTTTTTAGTCTAAATTTTTAATACAATATTTAAAAGCCCTATTATAAGTTGCTAGGTACAAAATATATACATTATTATGAAGAGACTATATTATTAAAAAATATAGTACCAAATTACTAATGCACGACATTTCTCTATTCAAATTGTAGAATATTACAAATCCTCAATTGATATTATGATAATATCATTTGTTCATTATTTTAATTATATAATCTAAGAATAAAACATGTTACATAAACAGAAATAACTTATGTAAGTATATTCGTATTTAAATTTTGTTAAAAATTTGTTAAAAATTTTAATACAAAATATATAGTCTAATTAGAATCAAATGTTTTTTAAATATAGCCTCCATATGTAACAACAATTTTAAGAGTAATATAATGTAATGTAGGTAACTGTGCAAGAACGGCAAATACAATATAAAAGAGATCACAGAATGAGCGAAATATTTATGCAAAGTCAATTGTGCAATCACTGTACACTAAGCTGGGAGCAAATCAAAGTCATCTGAAATATGTACCATTGGAACATGAATATCTTCTATTTGAGGTGTTGCTTTAAATTCACATAATCCAACTTCTTTTAATTTCCATTCCCAATCCATCTTTTGTACGGCATGTAATGATTCAGCTTCATTGTGATGCCTCAGTAACATTGCTTCCTAAAATAGTAATTTTCTTTTTAGTATTTCATCGTAGTTTTAGTAGAACATATATCCAAGTTTAGTAGAACATATATATCAATGTGTTACATCTTTTTGAACTGATATATATATAAAACGCTATCAGTCAGTTTTCATGTAACTTAATTTAACCTGAATAATTAAGACAATATACTATTTGTAGTTGTCTATATAATTCAGGTATAAATATCATAACAATCATTTTATAATTTATATAATGTTTACCTTAATTTTTTCCCATTTATCATCTACATCTTGTAACCAACTCAAAAATAATCTACCATTATATCTACTCCTTGCATTTCTATCTTTCTCTTCCTGTTCTGGAGTAATAACATTATAAACTTCTTCATCTTTTAATATTGTACAAACAGAGAAGGGAAGGGATTGATTGGCTAGAGCTCTAGCAGCTCTACCATGTACTCTAAGAATTTCTTGTTCCACAGATAAAACTAATTTTTCTTTTTCAACAACATGTTGCATTCTAAGACGATATCTCTCTTTTTCTTGTTCAATATACAAGTCTTTCATAGCGCCTTGCAATCCGACCGGAGGATTAACATTGGGCTCCTTATTTGCATTCCCAGCTAACACGTATGTACAACGATTCATTAAATAATCTTTGAAACCCTGAGGTGGTTTTGGTTGAACTGGAAAAAGGCCTTTCCTCCTTCGTTCGATCTAAAAGTATGAAAATATAATTACAATATGCTTTTTATGAAGAGATTATCATAAACATTAAAACGAACCTGTTTTCTAATATTTAAAAATAATTGGTAACAATTAGTAATCGGCTGATCATGTGGATGAACCTCTGGACCCGTATTCGTTGCTTCCGATGCTTCGTTAGAGGCAGCTGTAGCAGCTTGTTGTGCTTCTTTATTAGGTTTCATTTTTCTTTTTCTAGGATGAAGTTCAACAGGTGGCGCAGAAGCACCTATATTTGATGTCGTCGATGAGGTAGTAGTAGAAGTATTTTCAGAATTTTCTGCTCCGTTATCTTTTTGACACTTTCCACTAGTTTCGTTGTTTTTTTCTGATTTTTCTGCTACAATGTTTGTCTTTGAAGTCGTGCCACTATTTGAAACTTCTGTCGAAGTATTTTTATTCGTTTCAGAACCAGAAGTTTCAGGCGTCGGTGAATGATGTCTTTGTTGAGGTGACAAATTGTTGGAACGATCCGTTGAAGTAGTTACTGGTAGCGGAGACGAGTTCGAATAATTTCCGTTGCCTGTAGAAGAATTTTCCTTCAATGTCGCTGATCCGTTACCGCCATTACCGGATCTATGCGAACTTCTTAGCACTCTCTGGTGATGCATTGATCTTTCTTCTCCATGCAAAGCACCGCTGAAATCTTTTTTATCCTCATTTTTAGTATTTCCGCTTTCAGTAGGACTTGTTGTTCCACTAGTGGATTGATTCTGTTCTTTATCCGTTGAATCGTTACTATTAGAACTGGCAACTACATAGGGCAATTGGTGACTCCTGTTAGATGTACTCTTTCCGTTTCTATTCCCTTGCTCTTGTTCGGATGTAGTACTTTGTGGAATAACTATTTTCAAAGGTGGTACTTTAGGCGCTGAATTAGAATCTGATCCTTTCGATCGATCATCTTCACCATCAGATTCTGGAGGTGCTGGTGTAGTTGTTTTAGAATTAGTCGTTGAACCAGAAGGATTTGAAGGCTTTGGACTACTTGCCATTGAAGAAGCACTTGGGCTTTTTCTGTCCGTACTAATTGAAGTTGTATTTTGGTTGTTTTTGTTCGAAGTTGCTCCAGATCCTTGTTTTCCTGATTTTGTACACTGCAAAAAAAAATAAATAAATAAATATCAATATATTAATTTATCATTAATTCTAAATATATAAACTAATTTGATAGCGAATAATTATGTATGAAAAATAATTTTAATTTAAATTATAACACAATATGACAAATATAGTAAAATTGCATATTAAAAAATTGAATAACATTTTATCAGAAAGAAACTTTATAATACTTCATAATATTTCAACTGAGATTTTTCCCATGACATTTTAGATATCTATACTTCTATCTTGCTATGCGAGTAACATTTCCAATATGAGAAAGTGTATAAAACAAAATTCATATTATTTTAAGAGATATGCATTATAAGAATTGTTTCTAGCAATTTTAAATCACCATCACTAATTTTTTAAACAAAGTATGGTCTTAAAATTAAACAAATAAATTTAAACTAGGGAAAGAAGTGTAGGACAAAAAAGATAAATTCCCTCACAGACATGTTATGTTACACATGTTATGTTACACAAGTTTGTTTTTTTTTATGTGATATTTTCATTATTCTTATATTTAATTCTGCATTGATTTTATCTAAAACAACCAATCAATCATCAGCGTTCCATTTGCGAGACTTTCTTTCAGTTTCTAACAATTTATTAAAATATTTACTAATATTCACTTTAGTTTTATTACTTTAATATCATTTTATTGGATGTTTTTTTTTATTTAAGAAAAATAGATTATATTCCATCTATAATACTCAAAGAGAGCTTCCAAAGTATGTAAAAGAAGAGAAAGAATATGCAGCATATGTTTCACTTGATATCATTAATTTGTTTATTTTTTTCGTACAGTAATTAACTTGCAAATAATTTGAACTTGTTAAATTAAGTAAATTTTACCGTATCTTTTTTCATCAATTATACAAAGTATCCCAAATCTTAAACGGTTAAACTACGAGGACTTAATCTACAAGCAAAAAGAAGCAAAAATGTTATATAATATTCTTCAGCAAACACTTTGTCACAAAGTTGTAAACAAATACTTGTAGAAAAGCTACTTTTTTCCCGATTTAGACAATTTTTGACTACTATTGCAAATATAATACGTACTCCAATCCTAATTTAAATCTACTTCGTATCTTTTGTTTATAGCATATGTGTTATAAGATGACGACGAGCTATGGTCAACATCACCGATGTATAGTGTAAATGATGAAATTTCAGTTACGTTTGTACTGTGTCACAATGTGGCTAGTTTTGTCAGCAGTTTTTTGCAAATATCGATCGCTGGTTATATGTACAAGTAGAAGATATTCAAAACGTTGATTTTTACAATATATTCAAAAATCACAGAAATCGAGGAGGAAGACTTTTCTATAACACCACTAATAAATAATGTATGCATGAAATAAGTAGTGACATTTTCCTTTACTATTTGGCCATTTGATGTTTATTTCGAACAGGTTTATTTAATAGAAGTAAATACTGCAAAGAATTAAAAAACGCAGTTTTATGCTCAGTTTTAAACTCAGCAAAACATTCAAAGTTCTTTTTAATTTTGCAGTTATTAATTCCATTGAACACTTCGAAGGAATTGAAAATACTATAGTTTATTCAACTTGGTAGTACTTAAACGAAAACAGGGACATAGTTCTTAAGTTCTCTATGTTATCTTATTTCATGGTGTATGTATGTTGTACGTCTATAATTCGTAAGAGTTTATTAATCATCTTTTTGCCTATTTTTTATTATATTTAATATTTAACTATGTTGACAAAATTATATTTATATGCTGTAATGCAAATTGCGTCGCTACTTATTTCATGCATACAATATTTATTTATAACTCTACAACAAAGCGTTTGCCGACGAATTTTATATAACATTTTTTTCTTCTCTTTGCCTGTAGATTAAGTTGCCTCGCAGTTCGACGGTTTAAGCTTAAGCTTAGGACACCTTTGTACAACTAAGTCTAATGACACTTTGCATAGCAAATAATGAACAAACCTTCTCTCCGGTATTAGTGGAATTTCTACCAGTGCTTTGTCTTCCTGTGGTGGTACCTTTCAAGTTTTCTTTCACAGGTTCTGAATCTTTACGCTTTTTCCGACGATTCTCTTCGTCTTGCTCTTCTGTATTGTCGCTTTCAAACGCGCGTTTAGACGAAGGCGACGCCGAAATCGCAGGGGCATCATCGGTAGTAATCGATGCGGTCGTTGTTTCACCGGAAGATGTTGCACTACCAGCGGTAGACACATTGTTGCTACCACTTTGATTCCCTTGATTGCCGGCAGATTTATTGCTATCTTTGTCTTTCTCAAGATTAGGATTCGGCGATGAGCTTGCACCCCTGACTGGTGTTGGCTCTTTCGAACTTTTAAATTCATAGACATCGCTACTATCACCGGTAGACGAAGTATTCCCAGAAGTACTGGAGCCTGAGACGGCATTCACAGCCCCTGACGAGATGTTTGAAGACGTCTTCGAAGTTTCCATTTGACCTTGGTTCTGCAAATATTTTTTTTCCTTTCTTTCTCTCTCTCTCTCTTTTTTTTTTTGAAGTAAATGAATCGTTTGAATCGTTGAAATGTATGAAATATTTCACGTGTGTGTGTGTGTGTCATAATGTGTGAATCATTTGTTATCACTGTACTAACATGTATTTGTAAAACATACATATTTTTTTGTTCATTAATGTTTTCTTAATTTTGACATTTCTAATGTAACTAGAATACTTTATAACAATGATCTTGGTGTTGCTAATCGATACATATCTTTTAAACGTCATCCTTACAAATACATAATTGAACAAATGGCAAAAGGTTAATAACTCTTAGATTTCAGTAAAAACTCAAAGTTACTGGTCTATCATAGTTAACAGAGATTACCAATAGTACATTTATTAAAACATTCAATGTTTCGTTTTATGTACAAACAATATCATTTAATATTTCTGAACGGCTATACATTTCACATATTGTCGAGGTTTCTGTGATTGCATCAATCAATGAAATGCAATTAACAATCGTTTCTCAAAAATATGAAAAATTAACGTCAGTCGTAACGATTGTTCCAAACCGTGAATTTCTAGTAGACACCAATCAAATATCGATTAAAAAAACATACATACATATGTAATACATACATACATATGTAATATATACATACATACATACATATGTAATACATACATACATACATACAT